TCAACTCTGTGAGATACAGTTTGTTTGTGTTTTTTTTTGAGACAGAATCTTGCTCTGAAGTGGAGTGGTGTGATCTCTGAAGTGGAGTGGTGTGATCTCGGCTCACTGTACCCTCCATCTCCTGGGTTCAAGAGATCCTCCTGCCTCAGCCTCCCGAGTAGCTGGGACCACAGGTGCACACCACCATGCCCAGCTAATTTTTGTGTTTTTAGTAGAGATGGGATTTCGCCATGTTGGCCAGGATGGTCTCAAACTCCTGACCTCAGAAGATCTACCCACCTTGGCCTCCCGAAGTGCTGGGATTACAGGTGTGAAATACAGTTCTGAATTCTGAGTATCTGCTCTGCTTGATGATAGTGATTCAAACTTGATCAGACTTCTGCTTGATGATAGTGATTCAAAGTCTTTGGATAAAAATATGTCATATATATTTAGAATATATGTTAGTTATAATGTTTGTCAGAGCTGCTTTGATAGTGCACCACACAGAGTGGCTTAAACAATAGAAATGTATTGTCTCACAGTTCTCAAGGCTGAAAGTTTAAGATCAAGGTATCAGCATGATTAAACATCTACCCTATACTTCTTGTTCTTTTTTATGACATTGGAATATACCATATTTGAAAAATGCATTTTAGAAAAACTAATGGAATCCAAAAAATTTGGAGTTTAGTGACTAATAATATATTAATATTGATTCATTAGTTATGACAAGTGTGCCATAATAATGTAAGAGTTAATGATAGATGAATTATATCACAAATGAAATTACAAATTATATTACAAAGCAATAGTAATCAAAACAGTGTGGTACTGGCATAAAAACAGTCATATAGACTATTGGAACAGAATAGGAAGCTTATAAATGAAGCCATGCGTAAATGGTCAGCTAATTCTCAGCAAGAGTGCCAAGAATACGCCATAGGGAAAGGATAGTGTCTTCAGTAAATGGTGATAGGAAAACTGTTATTAACATGGAGATGAATGATATTGAATCCTTATCTCACACCATACACAAAAAATCAACTCAAACTGGATTAAAGATTTAAATGTGAGACTTGGAGCCATAAAACTAGAACAAAACATAGGGAAAATACTCTTTGACATTGGTCTGGGCAATGATTTTTTGGATATGATACCAAAAGCACAGGCAACAAAAGCAAAAATAAACAAGTGGGACTACGTCAAACTAAAAAGTTCCTGCATGCAAAAGAAACAAGCAGCAAAATGTAAAGGCAACCTATGGAATGGGAGAAAATATTGCAAACCATACATTTGATAAAGGGTTAATATTCCAATACATATAAGGAACTCAGACAACTCAGTTGCAAAAACAAAAACGACCTAATTAAAAAAAAAATGGAAAAAAGGACCTGACATTTTTTCAAAGGAGACATACAAATGTCCGACAGGTATATGAACATCATTGTTCATCAAGGAAATGCAAACCAAAACCACAATGAGATATCACGTCACACCTATTATAATGGCTACTATCAAAAAGACAAAAGTGTTGATGAGGGTGTGGACAGAAAGGAACCTGTCGGTGGGAATGTAAATTGGCACAGACACTATGGAAAACACTATGGTGGTTTCTCAAGAAACTAAAAATAGAATTACCATATCATCCAACAATCCCACTTCTGGGTATAAATCCCAAAAGAAATAAAATCAGAATCTCTAAGAGCTAGCTGTATTGCTATGTTTATTGCAGCATTATTCACAGTAACTAAGATATGGAAACAACATATCTATAGACAAATGAGTGGATAAACAAAAGGTGTGTGTATATGTACATATGTAATGGAATATTATTCAGCCTTAAAAAAAGGAGGTCCTGCTATTTGCAACAACATGGATGAACTTGGAGGACATTATGCTAAGTGAAATAAGGTAGACACAGAAAGACAAATACTGCATGATCTCTGTTACATTTTCAAAAGTCAAACTCATGGAAACAGAATAGGTGGGTAGTTAACCAGACGTGAGGGTAGGGGAGATGGGAAAATGTTGGTCAAAGGGTACAAGCTTTCAGTGATAAGAAAAACAATTTCTGATGTACAGCGTGGTGACTATGGTTAATAATTATTCTATTCTTGAAATTGACTAAGAGAGTAGATCTCAAGTGTTCTCCCCACACATACAAAAAAGGTAACTAGTGAGTCCATGGATATGTTAATAAGCCTGTGTGGTAATCATTTCACAAGGTATATGTATGTCAAAATGTCATGTGGTACACCTTAAATATATGGAATTTTTATTTGTCCATCATACCTCAATAAGACTGAAAAAAAAAATAGAGGAAACTGAATGACAGGTATATGGGAACTCTGTATTGTATTTGGAACTTTTCTGTATATCTAAAGCTATTCTAAAATCAAAAGGTTATTCAAATATAAACATCCTTTTATAATATAAAATGGTGTCTATATTAAACATTCCATGAATGCTGTACTTGGAATTATTATGTAATTATATTGTTTCTAATGCCATTGCTTATACATGTTTTTGTGCTCAAGAACAAATTGGATATGGCCTCTAGAGGACAGTGTTGGGTCATAGAAAGATGTTACAATTTCTGCCCAAGTTGAAGATGGTCATAACCATTTTTCTTCTTATTTTCTAACCACAAGTCCTGTTTATTCATTGTCCCTCTTTAAAAACAACAATAACAAAGAACATTTATGACTTGTCCGCTATTCTGACTAGTTGGCTGTTTTGTTTTAACTTATTTTTGTGTAATTTTGGTTCCACAAAGATCTATTAGGCGAGAAAGATCTGTGGAGATTGCACCATAATCTTCACATCCCTGAGGGTTTGTGAAAGTCATGAGGGAACCCGGGGAAGCGATATGAGGCATATATTATGTGTCATTTGTGAGTTCTTCCATGATGGAGATGGAATTATAGAGTTGAACTTCCTTTGGAACAACAAACAACAGTTTGTAGCTTGATCAGGGTGCATGTAAGCTAAAAAGGGGTTTTGATCTTTTAAAGGTTGAGACTGCTGCTCTACAGTGGTTTGTTGGTGGTGGGAAGAAAGGAAAAAAACCATTGCTCTCGCTTCTGGAGCAAATTTCTGGAGTAACCAGAATAGCAACTCAACATTTTAATTTTAAAATTCCTCCTTTGGAGATAACCTCATGAGATTTACATTGTATTTGTCCGAGGCTCCTGAGTAGGGAGTTGCAGAGTGCTACTCAAGCGCATCAGAGCCATGTGAACATTAATTTGCAAAATGCTCGCCTTGGACCTAGAGGCAACTGAGAACAATTGTTCATGAATGGGTGGACTCAGAAATTCTGAAACACACAATTCTGTCATTGAGTGCATTGCATTTTCTGCTGAGAGTGGAGTCTGAGGGTTCCACCATGCTAGGTGTGAATCTAGTATAAACATGAAAAAATAGGAGTCATTTGGATGATGGTGTGTTGCACTTAGCAGCAACCTATAGTGTTTCGTTTGTTTGTTTGTTTTTGCTCAAAGAATAAATCTGTCCAAAGCTCATCTGCTGAATTGGGATCTATGAGCCTTTTAATAGGATTTTTGAAAGGGAGTGGAAAATTTACAGCTCCTTATAAATAGCCTGACATGAAAGTTAAGGTCAATGGTGTTTTGTTCAGCCACTCCATCCAAGTCGAACCCACGGGCAGGGATCTGTTTCGTTCTCATTTAATAGTGCCAAGTGCCAAACTTTCTCTTTCTCAGGTATAGTCTTCTAATCTCGTGGTGGTGTGACAAAGTTCTATTTACCATGTAGGTACTTAGTGCATATTATGATGATTTAAGATGTAGTTGGTCCTTGAGATGGTGATTGGTCCCCTAACCTGATGCCTCATTCAGGGTTCCTTATCAGGGAAAAGCATCACCTTATCCCAGTGGTATAAGTCAGAATCTTGGGAGTCATCCTTGAATCCTCTGTTTTTTCCATCCTTATTCATAATGAATGCAGGGCCAGGTCCTATCAATTTCACTTCTTAAAATATTTTTTGAAGCCATCCATTTCTCTCTCGATGGCCGTCACTCCAATCTACGCCCTTGTCATATCTGCTTGGACTACTAAAGAAGCTGCCTCACCCTCAACCAGTGTCCTCTTTCAAAACCTGCATCTATGAGACCGTCACTGATTTCCCATTGTTCTTAGGCTAGCAACCTTATCACTCCGTCTCTCTTTCTAGCCTCGTCTCGAAGGCTTCTCCCTGCCCCTTGTACTGCAGCCTCCTAGCCTCCCATGCGTCAGCACAGAGTCTCAGCATGTTCAGTTTCCTCTAAGTGACTGTCTCTCCCCGGCTGTCTCTGTCTCGTCACCTTCTACTCATCCTTTCTAAGCCAGCTGGAGTGTTATTTCCTCATGGATGACTTCCCTGGTCTCCTGGTCTAAGAAGTGTTCTCTTTCTCTCTTTCTTTCTTTATTATTTTTTGAGATGGAGTCTCGCTCTGTCGCCCGGACTGGAGTACAGTGGTGCGATCTTGGCTCACTGCAACCTCCACCTCCCGGGTTCAAGTGGTTTTCCTGCCTCAGCCTCCCGTGTAGCTGGGATTACAGGTGTGCACCACTACGCCCAGATAATTTTTGTATTTGTAGAAGAGATGGGGTTTCACCGTGTTGGCCAGGATGGTCTCGAACCCCTGACCTCAAGTGATCCACCTGCCTTGGCCTCCCCAAGTGCTGGGATTACGCCACAACGCCCGGCCCAGTGTTCTTTATTGACTGTTCTTACAGACCCATGCTCCTTCCCCTCATTGTGCTTACATCAGTTCACAGTGTATTTGTGTTGTGTTTGATTAATGTCTGTCTCCCTTATCAGAGTATCAGCTGTGTTCAAGTTGAATGATGAAGAGAAATCTTAAAAAAATAAAGTACCAGCTCTGTGAGCAGGGGTCATGCCCGAGCGTGCTCACCATCCGGAGTCTCCAGCACTTGTTACAGTGCTTGGAAAAAGTAGTTGCTGAATACGTTTGTTGAGTGAATAAATGGCTGTTTACTTATTGAATGTTTAGGTAGAAGAAGAAGAACCCACTGGATACATTCGATTCGAAAAATTTCTTCCGGTGATGACAGAAATACTACTAGAAAGGAGGTAAGTAAGTAAATGCAATTGTTAAGGCAAAGTAATGGTTTGAATTATGAATCCGTTCATTTCAGGACGCTTGACTTTTTCACTTTGTATGTTATACTCAACCACTGTATCTTAAGGTGGCCTCCCTCTAACCTTTCAAGATACTTCTGAACTGCCTGTTGGTACATGCTTAGAAATATCAACCACATTAGTGTTATCCGAAGCAAAGCATAATTAGGGGGTAAATAAGCTACAAAAATCATAAATCAACATTCTTATTATCTTCTGTTTCGAATTATCAATGATAAATAAGAATCCTAACATTTTTCTAGCAAAAATATAGCATTAGCTTACGATAGTTCATTCATCATAGAATTCTTGTGCCCAGATAAATTGATTTCCAAAAAGCGAATAGATAACCTCAAACATGTCAGTGATTTTGCACTAAGTATTTCCTGTGGGGCTGAGGTAGTTCAACTTTCATATCCAGAAATCCAAAAAGATTTCAGTGAGGCGAGTATTACCATCCCAGTATATCAGCAGCCTTTATTTTATTTCTTATTTTATTTTATTTTATTTTTTTGAGAGGGAGTTTCACTCTTGTCACCCAGGCTGGAATGCAGTGGCACCATCTTGGCTCACTGCAACTTCTGCCTCCTGGGTTCAAGCGATTCTCCTGCCTCAGCCTCCCGAGTAGCTGGGATTACAGGCATATGTATGCCACCACGCCTGGCTAATTTTTGTGTTTTTAGTAGAGACAGGGTTTCATTATGTTGGCCAGTCTGGTCTCGAACTCCTGACCTCAGGTGATCTGCCCACCTCGGCCTCCCAAAGTGCTGGGATTACAGGCCTGAGCCACTGCGCCCAGCCCTGTTTTGTTTTATGTGGTCATTTATTACAGGGGTCCCCAACCACCAGGCCAGGGACTGGTTGCACGCTTCTCATGAGAATCTAATGCCCGATGATCTGAGCAGTTTCATCCACAACCCATCCCTCCCCCTCCCTGGTCTGTGGAAGAATTATCTTCGGTGAAACTGGTCCCTGGTGCCAAAAAGGTTGGAGACTGCTGATTTATTATGTAGAGACTGCAGTAAATACTGTGGCATTTACTCATTTTATTGCATAATTATAGATACAGACCAATTCCAGAAGATGTCCTTCTTCGAGCTTTTGAGGTATGTAAACTCCAGCTTATATGCATATACATATATATAAATACATATATTTATATACACATGTATATGAAAAATTCATCATGTAGAACTTAATTCACCAAATGAAAAAATATAATATCTATCTTTTCTTTTCCCCTAGGTTTTAGATTCAGCTAAACGTGGGTTTCTTACTAAGGATGAACTGATCAAGTATATGACTGAAGAAGGTAAGCATGACTTATAACTTATCACAGTGACTTATGTGAGGAATTAATAATTTGTTAACAGTTATGCGGAAGTTATAGGGGATACTTTAAAATCAGTTGTTCTGGTTAAAAAGTTATTTACTGTTCCTACTATTTTGGCTTGGGGATGGTTTCTGTTCTGTGGGGGTTAAGAGGACAAAGAGTAGGGAAAGGGGAGATGGGTTGTTGTCTCGTAGGATTTTGTGAAGCATAGTGATTACTTCTATAATTTCAGGCATTCCATTCAGAACATTTCCAGAATAAAAGATATGCCATGTGGAAAACATGAACTATCAATCACTGTAAATGAAGGCCTCCTCCTAGATTGAAGATTTGAATAGAAGTATATAAAAATCCCCCCCCCTTTTTTTTTTTTGAGACAGAGTCTCACTCTCTTGCCCAGGCTAGAGTGCAGTGGTGCGATCTCAGCTCACTGCAGCCTCCACCTCCTGGGTTCAAGTGATTCTCCTACCTCCACCTCCTGAGTAACTGGGATTACAAGCATGGGCCACCATGCCCAGCTAATTTTTGTAGTTTTAGTAGAGATGGATTTCACCATGTTGGCCATGCTGGTCTCGAACTCCTAACCTCAGGTGATCCATCCATCTTGGCCTCCCACAGTGCTGGTAAAATTTCCTTTTTAAAGAGCTTTTCTGTCGGTGAAGTTACAGCTAATGTAACCTCAATTGAATACTGAGGTCATTTTTAACACTAAAAATTTCCTTTTTTTAATGTTAATTGAACCATATATATTTGTTTCGAACATGGCCCATCATACATATATGCATACACACACACGTAAAACCTACACACTTACATACATGCCAACGTATTTCCTTTAGGAATTCTGTCTGCTAGGCTGATGTGTAAAGTTGTTTACCTTGAAGGTCAGTGGCCTGATGGACAGTCTCCTGAAGCCAGCCTCATATTGGTCACCTTGCCTTCTCCCATACAGAGCTAGAGCTCCCTGGTTCACACATTGAGTCCTGAATGACTCAGTTGCTGATCACTTGTGACAGAATCAAAAGTGCAAGTAATTTGGAGTAGGGAAGATTAAGACTGCATCTACATGCATGACTGGTTTGACCATCCCAACTTGATCCACCTTTAGACGGAACACAGGGAGTGAGGGTAAGAATGCCACGACCATCAGAGCTGCCACCCAAGAACTCTTATGCCGTTGTTAAAATTATCTTAGGGATTAATTTTGATGGGAATGTTACAACTTTCAAAGCATCAGCTTCTTAATCCTAAGGATTAGTTTAAAGAAAGTAAATCCTAGGTTATGTATTAGGCAACATGAGTTTAGTCAAAATGGCTCAAACAGTTAGCTTTTCCTACTGTTGTGTGCCTACTGTATGTTTAGGATTCAGTAAGTGTAGTAAGGTATAATGATACTGAAATCTTCCTCTCTCAAGAATATTACAATCTTATTGGGGAGATAAAACTAACATAAAATAATTCACAATACAAGACAATAGAAAAATCAATATCAGAAGATCAACCAGGGCCGGACCAGCCTGGAAAGCTCGGTCTGGGAAGACTTAAAGAGAAAATAGGTTTTTTGAGAGGGTAGAATGTATATGGTTAAGTTGAGGGCAGAGGTAAACTCTGATGCATTTTAATTCCCTCACACACGGTAGATCTCAACAAATGTTTGTTGAATGAATGAATGAATGAATGAGTAGATGATGAAGACCAGGTGAAGGGGCTAATGAGAGGGAGACATTGTTGATACGTAAAACAGTCTGAACAAAAATTGGGAGGTAGGAATGAACATGCTATTTCAGAGAGAAAATAAGCCTAGCTGGCCCAGAGGATAATGTTGGCAAACAGCGGGAAATTAACTTCAGTAGATTTACTAGGACTAAATTGTGGAGTCCCAGGCTCAGGAGTTTGGAATTCACCTGTGGGCAATGGAGAAGTATTATAGGCTTTTAAGCAGATGAGTCACATGGTGTATGAGTGATTGTGAGAAGGTTTTTCTGGTGCTGGTCGGTTTGTTAGATGCATGAGAAAGAGGTTGGACTAGGGAGGCCAGTTAGAAGGTTATTTCAGCATCTGAAGGCACCCAAATAAAGGCCTGACCTGGCAACAGAAATGGCAATGGGGAGAAGGGATTGGTACAGTAGGACTGTCTGTGGCAGGATCCATGGGTCATGATGAGTAACAGAGTGTAGGTGACAAAGATGAGAGCCGAATCAAAAATAACATCAAGGCTCTGCCCTCAATGACAAATATTATGGTAACGCTACTGACTAAAACAGAAAAGTCAGAACAGACTGCAGTGTATACAGAGATGGTGCAATCACAATCACGTGGTTTACTTGGAGGACTGTGTGATAATTTCGAAAACGATATGTTTACAGATAGTTCATGGTACTTAAAGATCAACTATTGAGTATCTCAGTGGACTAAGCATAGGACAGATATTTTCAAGTAAGAATATATATGGTTTCAATTATTCATTCAACAAGTGTTATTACAAACCTTCTACATATATGAACCAATATATTTGGAAGTAATATGTAAGATGTAAATTACTATGCAAATCTAAGTTATGATTTAATATAACGGACCCATCAGCTAAGTGTAATACCAGTTGACTAGTTTGGTAAAATAGGTGCTTAAGAATTGCTAGTTTGAGAGTCTCAGAATTCTACAAATTGTTTTTAAGTAAATTTCTGCTACATAGCAATATAGATTCAAGTTACTTGCACGCGCTTCATAATATTCACAAAGTATCAGCTAGTTTGAGAATATGCATTCTTACAGCCCAGGATGTCATATGATAAACAAAATAAATCACATTGAATCAAGTTCCTACAAGATAGGAGTCCCTAAGTGTCCAGGAATGTGTATTGCATCAGACAGTGTTTAGCAGGAGGGAAGATCTCAGAACAATTTTTTAAACAAACACTTACATGTTGCTGCTTATATGCCAGGTACTGTTCTACATCCCATTCAAATCACAACACATTTCATCCTCATGACAACCCTGTGTGATAGGTAGTGTCATTATCACCTCCATTTTATAGACAGGTAAACTAAGGTGTGGGGCAGTTAAGTGACTTGCTCAAGACTTTAGAGCGAGTAAGAGGCAGCCAGCATGTGAATCCAAACTTGTGCTTTAACCATTCGGTGATTTTCCTTCCATCTTTAATCAAATACTGGGGCTTCAGGTTGATCCTCTGGTAATCTCAAAAGTTTTCATCTAAATAAATAACCTTGTTCGTGATATCTGTGTGTCTTCCCACTGTTTTGCCTGAAATGACGCGTTCTAGAGGTTGCTTGATCTGTGACATCTACAGGCTGAAAGAAGTCCAGAATCTGCCAGGGTGTACAATAGCCTTCTCTTTGAACCTCTGGACTGTCGTGATATCCTGGCTCTGCAGCTCCAGGGAGCATAACTAGTGACAGTGTGGGAGTTTGTGGGGCTCCATGGCTATTAAGCTGACTAATGGAAAGAGAAAGAAAAAAATCAGATGATCATAAATGATAAATTTTCCTTTTTGTCTCTCTGAGGTGAGCCTTTTTCTCAAGAGGAAATGGAAGAAATGTTGTCTGCTGCAATTGATCCAGAATCAAATTCAATTCATTACAAGGACTATATAACAATGATGGTGATAGATGAAAATTAAATGTTCTAAAGATAATTTCTAATTGAAAGGTCAATTTTAGAAATTGCTTCTCCTTGTTAATTTCACATCTAAGATAAGAGAATCTAAGGAATCTTAGGATTCCTATATGTGATATTTAATACCTTGTGACGTAACTATTTCTATTTTGAGATACTTTGTTTTTAAAGATGATCATAACACTTTAAAACAAATTTAGTATGTCTAGCCTTACAGAATGATAAATTACTCTTTATTTAAAAACTATTCTTAAAACATTTTAACATTAGAATTGATTGTTATATTCTGTAATAAAACTCAGGTAACCTTCAAATTAATTAAGCTGACAAAATGAAAATGACTGTAATGACCCAAGGTTTGACATATAAAGATCTTAAGAGGGGGCAGAATGACTAGCAATTGACAATGAGTAGCAATATAATGAAGGCTTCCTTTTTCAACAATAACAAATGCTTCATCAATCTGAGTGTGGAAGGAGATTTATCAAAATAAATATTAATTGATTTTTTATGAGTGCCAATTACGAATGTCATTTGGGATTGTAATAACTGAGTGTAAACATGTATATTTGCTGATCCAGCATGTCACCATTTATGGAGTAGCTAAAGGAGTTGAGATCATTGAAACTAGAGAAAAGAAGGCTGAGTGGAAATTGATAGTGTAAGGTAGTGGCAATTCTCTCTTTGTCTTTAGAATTGTCGCCTACTCGGTATATCTGTCATGGGAATATTGTCCTGAATACTGAGTAAGAATACTGAGAAATGTTTTGGTGTGCAAATGTGCAGCTCCCGAAAGAGGAGAATGAAGGACGCCTCTGAGCACAAGCAGTCACAATGGAAAAATAGTCACTATATGGCAACTTACAAGCAAAGGGGAAGATAAGGTAAAGGAGAATGAACACTTTTCCCAACTTAAATATTCTTTTATAACAATACACACACACACACACACAAACACACGGATCTCTATTTAAAGATGGCTTTACCACCGTATGTGTGTATCTACATAGATGTAAACGTTTCAAGTTGCTGGGAGCCTTCCTCAGGCATGCTGTCTTGCCTCCGAAAGATGCAGCTGCTACCCAAGAGACTGTCACTGTTCATTCATTCATGAAACATTGAATGAGTATCATGAGATAATGTGCTGGGAACCAGAGTCCCTAACGAGTCCAGGTCGCGGTTTAGTGAAGGAAGCCTGCAAGTCCATCAGCAGCCACATTTCAGACGGGCACGTTCAGGGTACCGTGGAAGTACAGCAGAGGGGCAGCTACTTGGCCTTGCAGGGAGGGAGCTTTCTGGGAGATGAAAGGTGCCAGTGAGCAGAGAAGGCTTCCCAGGACAGGAAACACCTGACTTTAAAATGAGAAGTTTAGTAAGTGGGCAGCGGGGCACAGGGCATTTCAGCAGGTGAGCGGCAAGTCCAGAAACCCTAGAGGTGCCATGAAACATGGAACCGCCTGGGAATTGGAAGCAGCTCAGTGTGTTTGGAATGTAGGAGATTTGGGGGTCATGATGAGAGGTGAAACTGGAGCGGTAAACAGGAGCTGTATCGTTAAGAATATCGGGTTAGGTGTTGAGTTAAGGTTTCAGCGTGAGAGTTTGGACTTTATTCTGAAGATCACAGAGAAAGATCATTTGTAAGCAGCAGGGAAAACAGATTTGATAGGTCAAGACTAGAAGTGAGACCCGTTTGTAGGCCATTTGGTTGGTGGGAGGGGATAGACTGAGAAAAGTCAAGCATGAATCCCAGGTTTCTGGCTCAGACGGTGGGTAAAAGTGCCATTCATTCAGATAAGAAACCTGAGGAGCAAGTGGGGCATTGGTAAGCAAAATGGTGAGGTGGGTACAGACACCTTTGGAGCTCAGCATGTAAGCAGCTTGAAAGGAACAGAAGAGAGTCTAGAACAAAACCATGGGGAACATCAGCATTTCCGGGAGGGCAGAGGAAGTGGAGCCCACAAAAGAGACTGGGAAGGAGAAGCCTGAGAAGAGGAAAGCTGGCAAGAAGCATCTTGGATGCCAAGGTCAGAGAGAATCGCAAGGAGGGGCAGTGGCCATGCCGGATGTAGTGGAGGGGAGAGGGAAATTACAGACGGAAAAAACGCCCATTGCTGGTAGCAACGAAGAGTTCTTTGAGGGCCTCTCCCAGAGCAGATGTGGGGAAGCAACAGGGTATGGAGTTGAGTGGATTGAGGAAGGAATGGATGTGAGAAGGTTGCAGCCTGGAGGACAAGTTACTCAGCAGTGAAGAGAAGGAAACAGACAACAGGCTGGGGGAGTGATTTTTGGAAGACGGGCAGATGTAGCAAGTTCATTTCTAGTCCGAGGGCTGACAGCCCGCAGAGAGGGTGAAGGGAGGGGCCGGCTTCCAGAGCAATACAGAGATTTAGGAACAGTGAACCAACGCCTGTGCTCCCTACCCCATGGCCTCTACTGCCTTTTGGAGAGGAAGGTAGTAGGTTACAGAGCTTGAAGAGAATGGTGTAACTTTAGAATATCTCTTGTGGGAAATGGGAAAAAGAGTTGAGAGAGCCCATGCAAGGATTTTCAAGAAACCCTGGAAGATTTTGTGCTCAGGAGCAAAAAAGAAAATAAAAAAGGTAGATTGTTGTACCAGGGTTAAGCTTTGTCATGTGGGTGAGGTGGAAGGAGCCGAAGGCCGAGGAATCTGCAAGAACGCAGTTCCGAGGGTGTCCGTGGCTAACATGCTAGGGAAAGAGCCAGGCAGGAGGACTGGCTAACAGATGGGAGGGTTAGAGGACTCGGGGCTCTAAAAGGGCAAGTGGCTGGTGTTGGTAGCAAGGGTGGTCTTTCCTACCATTCCTGAGTGATAATACGTTTCCTTTGAAATTTGACTTCACTGTGTTCTTAGAGCGTTTCTTTTCTTCTCCTGTGTTATTAGATGAATAAATAGTAAGAGTGGCTGACGTTTGTTGACTGTTGTCTGTGTTGCAGGCACTGTCCTAAGTGCTTGACTTACATGAACTCATTTCATCCTCACATCCACCACCGGTGTAGGTGCTGTTCAGTTATCCCCATGTTGCAGAGGTGGCAATCAAGAAGTTACACAGCAGTAAGGGGCTGTATCAGCTTTTTCTAGGTTATGTTGTGATAACGAAACTCCCAAAGTCAGAGGTTTACAAGGATAAAACTTATTTCTGTTGATGTTTTTTTGTCAGCTGGGGTCATCTGGGACTCTGCCCTACATGTCTTTGTTCTGCTCATGGCCTGGAGAAGTACGATGTCCTGCTGGACGTCTGTCCTGCTTTGCCGGAGGTAGTCCCAGACTACACCCGTCCCAGTGTAATTATTAACAGGTCTCCTTTGTACTCTTAGAAATGTTCCAGTTTAGATGATTAATATGTGGTCATCCCATTCAAAAAATAGTGAGTAAAAACGATGGCGAGGAATCGTCACTTCTGGAAGGCTTTCTGACAAATAATTCCAGCAATGGTAACAGTGGAAGGCATTTCTTCCTTCTCTAGTTTGCCAAGATCATTTTTCCCCCCAGGATTACCTGAGATTTTCCCAAGGTAAAATCCAGATGAGAACTGATGTGCCGCTGGCTTGACCGCGCATGTCAGGATCACCAGCCAGAGATGAGGATGAGCCACATGCCTTCAGGACAGGGCGGAGATGGAGGAGGAGAGGAGTGTGGTGACCCTCAGAACATCAACAGACAGGCTGTTTATGATGGGAACACATTGCAGCTGGGAAGGAGGGTGGCCGAGATATGAAATACCCTTCAAGGTGGACGCATACCCAGGGCATATCATTCGGTGGCAGGGGCCAGCACGGACATGCAGCATTGAAGCGTGTGCTACAGCCTAATGCGTCAGCCCAGGCACAGACTTGTTTGGAGCACACAAAACAGCTCTGAGTTAAGTCCTGTAAGCCATTAAAGATTAGTACGGTCTGGTGAATGAACCCTAATCTCTTGATGATCAAGTGATGACATCATATTCTCTCTCCGAGGAGACGCTGTCGTGCGCAGAAGGCAGTAGAGGAAGGTTGCATCGAGATTGCGTGCCGCCCCAGGCCCCATCTTCGAGGATTCTTTCAGAAGTTCTGACTGATGTTCAACTTCACATCTTGTCGCAAGGGAATCTTCTCTGTTTAGTGTCATAAAGTTGGCTTTATGGAATGTAATTCATTTTTATCTTTAGCACAAATTTGTCTGTTTCTTTTAAGGCCACCAGAAAGCGCAACATAGACTCCCCACAGAAATCTCACTTTATCTCCTAAGCTGCAGAATAAACGTACCTTGTTTGCAAACGGAGCATTTTTCTTTACACTCAAATCACTTCAATGTGTATTTTGCCTCTTCAGCTTACCGACCTTGCCCTCAGCATCTGATGTAAATCACCGTGCCAGTTCCTGCCTGGGAGAGTGCTTGGTCTCTTGCGCGGAAAGTTTGCTTACCCTCATGACTCCTGGCTTCTGCAGAGCCTGCCATACCCCACAGCTTCGCCGGGCCCTGTGGAAAGCCGTCTCTGTGCTCACACTGCTGGGGAAGGTGCGTGACTCAGGGCCCGACACACAGGCCTGAGGGTCCGGCGATCTTGCGCTCTGCTCCCAGCTCCATGTGTGACTCACTCTGGGTCAGGCGCTTCCCTCCTGTGCACCTCTGTCTGTCAAATAGAGAGCTCAGCTCTGTCCTTCTCCCTCCTGAGAAGAAGTGCAGAGATTCAGTCCCCTTTGGGGAGACACCCGACGTGTGCTGTTGTGGTGCTATTAATTATAAGGCGTTAAGTTTCTTTCTAGAATGTGAAAATAGGAGGCTTTAAGAGGTTTCTTTTTTTCTTCTGCTTTTAAAAATGTGCTATCTGTCACGGTACTTTTAGAGCAGCAGCAATTATTTACCTCATCTAGTGGAGAAAACACTCCTAATCATTTGAAGAAACTGCTATTTTCCTTAAAAAAGAAAAATCAGACCAAGCCCAGTGGCTCACGCCTGTAATCTCAGCACTTTGGGAGGCTGAGGTGGGATCACGAGGTCAGGAGATCGAGACCATCCTGGATAACATGGTGAAACCCCGTCTCTACTAAACATACAAAAAACTAACCGGGCGTGGTGGAGGCCCCTGTAGTCCCAGCTACTCGGGAGGCTGAGGCAGGAGAATGGCGGGAACCCGGGGGGCGGAGCTTGCAGTGAACCAAGATGGCGCCACTCACTCCAGCCTGGGCACAGAGCGAGACTCCGTCTCAAAAAGAAAAGAAGAAATCTCAGAAGAGGCTTCTAAGCATTTATCACCAAACTCAGGAAATGTAGTGCAGTATGGTTGGGTATTGCATGACTTTAAATCTGGCTTTTAAGCACGTCAAGATGTATTTCCATGCTCTAAACAGCTAGTTTTCAAATGTCTGGCTGGCTGGTAACATTCCTGGTTACCAACTCAAGGCATGGTCCGTACTTAGGCAGAGCTCGTTGTTAATGAGAAGAGAGGTAAGTCTACTTTCCAGCTAGTCTTGATAATGTTTAAGTTTTTTAGTTCTTTATGAAATCCGATAAGCCTGTCTTTGTTCTTACCCAACACGACGCAGGGCCCATCCTGGTGGAACTGTCGCCCCCGCCATTCTCAGGAAGCCCCCCTGCGTTGGGATTATCTTCAATTCAAGGTTACTTTTTAGGAAACTTTTTAAGTCTCTTATCAGTTTTTGAGGGCTGATGTCATTACAACCAAATCACATCTGTAAATCCCTCACTCAGTGGGCCATCTGTACGGTTAGTGATTGCACGGAAATAAACAAGATGGAATGAGTGCACGAGCGAAGGCTCCCCGAGCTTCCTTCACGACGGCTGCCTGCCTTCCTGATACGTGCATTTCTGCCGTGTGGACCCAGGGAGGATGTCAGTGAGATTTAACTAACACAGAACCTAAATATAAATTAAAACAAATCCTGGTTTTCTTCCTGCACCCTAAGGAGTCGTCTTGCATTCCCTGCAGGGGCACCTCACTCTGAGATGGCTGCTTTAGAGAATCTTCCCAGGAAAGGCCCTTTGGGAAAAACGATGTAAAGTATAAAATACTCTAACAACTACTAGAGTGGCTCCCAAGCAATAGATTAATTATTAAAGAGAAATTGGAAAATGCCAGTAAACAAAAAAGAAGAGGAAACACCTTCATTCCACAAAAGTTACCCACCGTTACTAATGCTTTGCTTCATCTCTTCTGAAAGCTTTTTCCAGGGACATGTCTCTCTGTAGAACTTCTTTAAAATATCACTGTGGAACCTATCAGTTAGGGTCCTTGACCATGAGGACAGAAAGCAGGACTCACTGGGAGGCACCTGGGCTGAGGAAGGGGTGCTTACAGAGCCTACTGGGGACTGGGGCACCAGGCTCAGGCTAACAGGAGCCAAGGGGGCATCGGAGGGCAAAGAAGCATGGTGTAAGAGGATAGCAAACATCACATAACCGGAACGGCCTTTCCAGGGCCGCTGCTGCAGGGAACGGCTTTGCACTGCTTCAGGTTCAAGGCCTGCAAGACACAGCCTGCTGAGCTGAGCTCAGTCTGGCCTGGGCAGGTAAGGGCAGACCTTGCTTCTAGGCAGCCGTGTGGAAGGCAGGAATCCTCCAACCACCAGCTACACCCCACTGGAGGGAGCAAATACTCTGGTAAGAAATCAGGGTACTACTGGGGAAGAGAAATAGATAAATAACAAACATGACAATACTACAGGATCAGACCATATATGCTATTATGTAATCTGCTATTTTAAGTGAATACATAATGAACACTCTTTCCATGATAATGTATATTCACCTAAAACATAACTTTGAGTGACTGGATAGTATCTAATTGTTTGGCTATACCTTAATTACTTAATTAATTAATTTAGAGACAGGTCTTGCCGTGTCACCCCAGCTGGAGTGCAGAGGCACGGTCATAGCTCACTCCAGCCTCGAACTCCTGACCTCAAGCAATCCTCCCATCTTGGCCTCCCAAAGAGCTGGGATTAGAGCCACCACACCTGGCCTATTGGTTCCTCATTCTTAGTAATTTAAATAATTTTCAATTTTCACTATTATAATAAATTAAGATCAGCATCCTGCTAGTTAAATCTTAATTGTTTGCTTAGAATACATTCCAAAAAGCAGAACTGTTGGGCCACCTTTAAAGTAATGGGGATCTATTTTTAAGTCCTTTGCTAACATGTTTTCAATCTGTCCTGCAGAAAGATTGTTCCCATATTCTAAACCCTCCCCAGCATATTTTTGCTTTTTATTTTGCAATTAGTTAGGGAAAAATAGTGTCTTATTGATCTTTTAAAAATTTGCATTCCATTGATAACCGGAACTTTCTCAAGGCCCACAGCAATGTACTGACGGATTCCGTTGGATTAGCTCCACGAAGCCCCAAATTCGAGCCTCACAGATGGTTTCTTCAGATAGAAACAAACCCCTCGGCTGCTATGAAATGGAGCCCACAAAGCACAGCATTACAGGCAGAATCTGAATTCCAGAGACAGTTTCTTTCAGAACAAGTATTATTTGCGGGAGGCAATTAGAATGAGCTACTATTGCACAGAAGACTTAGCAGGAAATGTCACAGATATTCAAGCAACAAAATAGGAACTGGGGAA